TTACATACACACACACACACACACATATATATATATATATATATATATATATATATATATATATATATATATAGTAAAAAAATAACTATAAATATTTTTAAGTATTAAAATAATTATTTTCACACAATTAATAAGGACTTTTGTATTACAATAGCATGATTTTTATTGCATTATGGTAATGAGAATACTTCAATAATGCTTTTTTAAATAATTATAAATAAATATGCTCAATTAAATTCACAACTAAAAATCACAAATAAATAAACAAACAAACGAATAAATAAATAAATTTAATTTATACAAAATATAGTCAAATGTCTTATTTTTCATTCTCATTTTTGGGGTGGAAACTGATTCAAACATGTTTATGACAGGCTTTCAGTGATTCATCAAGGCAATTAAGAATTGCTTTATAATGCACTCAGTTATCTTCATAATGCACAACACTGGTCGTAGACAGCGTTTCGGGTGTGTTTCACATATTAATCACTGTGAGGGAGATTACGTTCTTCTCTCATCTACTTTATCATGAATACCTAAGGTTAAAGGGGCAAACTATGGCCGAAGAGGCATCTACATTGCATCAGCGAGAACTTCCATGAGGGTTTCTCACTATTTCCAATCTAAAAGCTCTCTTATGTATTTTTCTCAGCAGGAACATCTGAAAATAATATGCTAAATTATTCAAATGTTTGCAGTGATTCTGTTATATGTACTTACTCTTAATCTCTGACATTAAATGGCAGAATAAATGCTCCGGGTTCTGATTTGATCGCGGTTTAAAGTCTTTTTTTGAGCCTGGCGCTGCGGTGCGGTGCTCTAATCAGAGGCGGTGTGGGCTAGCGGAGAGTGAATGGGGTTACGGTGATGAAGGAAATGCCCTTTAATGAGAGGAAGACAGGAAGCACTCCAATCAGCCCTTAGTGAGGAGAACATGAAAGCACAAAGAAAAATGCGAGAGGAAAACAAAGGAAGGAGTGAGACGGAAGGAGAAAAAGAGGAGAGAGAGAATTCTACAGCTCTCGGTCTGAGTGAAAAGGGGGATGGTGGGGGTGACGGGGGTTCGGACGCTTTCTTTTCCATCAGAAAAGATCAGAGAAGCCCTTCCTCAATTTTCTCTGATAAGTGGTGAATTACCAGAGGCGCTGCTGCTTGTGTGTATGTGTGTGGAAAAGTGGGAAGGGGGCTGACACAGTGTCGAATATCACATGCAGACAATCAGGAGACGTTCCGGGTCTCTCTTTTTCACACGTGCTCACACACACGCACGCACACAGTCTAATTCACCATGTGAATCTGTGCAGAATAAAGAATAATACACATCCTGAACAGCTTTTCTTTGTAACAATAGAGCAGCATTTTCAATATTCAGGCCAACCCAGCTATTATATACACTATCAGTCAAAAGTTTGTTTCTCATCAGTTTAAAAAACTTTTTAATAAAGGCATATGTTTAAATGTTTGAAATCTGTTTGAAAATAAATATATAGTAGATTGTGATACATAGATTTATTCATAAAAAAAAATTCAAATCAACTTATTCACAAAAAGAGAGACAGGAGCTGGGCCAGATATACACTACAGAGTAAAAAAAATATTATTATTATTATTATTTTGCAATAAAGTAACAAATTTTATTATTTCGTGCTGTCAAATCGATTAATCACGATTAATTGCATCCAAAATAAGTTTGTTTACATAATGTGTGTGTGTACTTTGTATATTTATATGTATACATAAATACACACACATACATTTAAGAAATATATGTAATATATATTTATATTTATGTATAACATAAATCATATATATGAAAAAATACATGCATACACACACATATATATATATAGATATACAGTATATATATAGATATATATACACACACATACATACATACATATATATATATATATATATATATATATATATATATATATATACACACACACACACACATACATATATATATACTTATACCTTTTGTTCTTTAATATTTTGAATTGTTTTTAGTAGGGCTGCACGATAAATCGCATGCGATATTTAATGCGCATCTTGTCAGAAAGCTGGTTCTGTAATCAGTGGTAAATCTCCATTACGTGCGTGCTTTCACATTGAGCAGCATTAAGAGCCGTTGTTCACTGACGAGCTGAACAAAAAATCGCGCGAATATGAACGTGGTTTTGCGCAGCTCGTCAGTGAACAACGGCTCTGTTTAGTTAATGCTGCTCAATGTGAAAGCACACACGTGATGGAGATTAACCGCTGATTACAGAACCGGCTTTACTGATAAGATGTGCGTTAAATATCGCATGCGATTTATCGTGCAGCCCTAGTTTTTAGCTTTATTTATTTAATTTTTTTTTATACATTTTGAAATTTTGTTGGATGCATTTGTCATTTTTATTTAATCTCTTTATTTTTAAAATGTGTATAGGTAGTATTTATAAAGTTTTAGCTTTTAGTTTTGGATCTGTTTTTAGTTGTTTTCATACTACAATTGATTGCTTCTGTTGTCCTCATTTGTAAGTCGCTTTGGATAAAAGCGTCTAATAAATGACTGAATAAATAAATATACAAACACATACAGATAAATATTTATTAAATATACACATATGTGTGTTTATTTATAAATACAAAGTACACACAGATTATGTAAACAAACTTTTATTTTGGAGTGCGATTAATCGATTTGACAGCACTATTATTATTATTATTATTATTATTATTATGACGACTTATTGCATTCTAATGAGAATTTTGGTGGAACATTTTCTTAGTTCAATTATGTTGTAAGTAGAAATAATAATAATAACAATAATAATAATAATAATAATAAATGCCCAAAAAAAGGCTTTTTTTAGACTAAATATATGCTAATGCTAAAAAAGCTTTTATTTTCTCTAAAATAAAATATGTATTTTAAAATAAAACTTGAAAAGGATAAGTTGGACAAGATGGCAAAGGAAAGGCTGCCAGCAAGTGCCCATGTAGGTACTTCCATTATCTCAAACAGTATAGAATGGTGCTTGCAACTCCAAAGTCATGGGATCAATTCCCAGAGAATCAATGAACTGATCAAATGTAAACCTTAAAAAGTAAAATAATCCACTTTGGATAAAAGCGTACGGCAAATGCATAAATGAAAAAAAAAATCGAGGTAAACAATAGCTACTATGAAGAAGCTAAAATCTCATACTTCCATTCTTGCCATTTCAACCAAATGTTTGGAAAAAAGTGTCCTTTCACTTGTACTTTCATTCTGTGTATGTGTGCTTTCCTCTCTATTTGGCATCTTTGGGGACTCAGGTGCGTGACCAGACCACACTGTTTGTCCGTTGGGCTCCTCAGAACATTCTAGCCAAATAAAAGCCGTCGACCATCAATGTCAAACAGCACACTCCCTGAAGTCTTACCTCTTTATCTGTGAGCGTGTAGATGTATTGATGGTCAGGGCTGAACAGCATGTCTCTCAAAATTGGGTTCCCTTCGCTCACCACCACGTTCTCATACAGCAGTGCAGGCTGGGTAATGGAGTTCACCAAGATCTGAAAGAAACAGAGAAGATAGACATTTAATACACATCAAATATTGTCCAGACTGGCTGTGATTTAATCAGCTGATCGCTTTGTGCAGCATTCCGGCTTCTACAAGGTAGAAAAATAGGTTTATAATGGAAACTGTCAAAAGGTTTTTGGTTTGGTGTCTCTTTAAGCTACATAATACAGTCATTTAACTCTGCGGGCTTCACAACGATGCTTAAAGGGGAGTAACTCTGGCCTCGATGCTAAACAAATGGATCTTGGTCAATAATAACCACACAGCCTCTTTTTCTGCTTCCTTCCTCTGTTTGGCCCACCCGAGCATCACCCAGAGTCATACCCTTCTTTAAGTCCCCCTCCCCGGCCTTATTGATGCAAGGTCAGGGGAGCGTGACCCCCGCATCCCGTGATGTTTCAGGGCCTAATGATGTGCTCGGCTCCGGTGCCGCATCCCGCTGATTAATGACCGTCCCCTTCGCCGAGCGCCATGGGAGCGCATTATCTGGGCCCTCTGACACCACCCCATCGCTAATGAAGAGAGCACCTGCAGCACCTGAGTACACTGGAGCACCGGACGACCCACTTACAAAAACACAATAGCCGCTAAAGCAGTTCGGTTTCCCTCATAAAGGTCCACATCACAGAGCCAAAGAGTTGCAGGACGTTTTTAGCCGCCCACACCTGGGAGTCGACAGTGTGGCCTATTTGGGTCAAACCCTGCAGCCAGATCATAAGAACTAAAATTACACCTACAAGCATCTGAAAATAGAGCCAACTTAATCAGCACTTCTTGTCTTTAACTAAAACCTAAAGTTGTGCGACATGACCTCAAGTAAACTGCCATATTTATAGAACATTTATATCAAGGGAAAAAAAATTGTCATTACTGGCATGGACAGAATTGGTGGACTTTTTCCACAATTTCTGTACTGATTTTGAGGGTAAAATCTGCAGAATTTAATTTGATTTTTTTATTATTAATTTATTTATAAGAACTAAGAGTATAATTTATTGGTGTCTAAGTATTTAGCATAATTAGTAAGACAAAATATTTAATAAACCAATGCAAATAGTGAATAATATTTAGTAGTGCATGAGTCAGTCTAAATAATAATAATAATAATAATAATAATAATAATAAAAAAATACTACCACTACTACTACTTCTATAATTAGTATTATTATTATTATTCAAATATTTCATATACTGGGAGAGTTTTACATTTCAATGTCATGAACCAATTAATTGTATTTATTTGTTAATTCAAATCATACTTAAAATACTATATTGTTGGTAAAATAAAATATAATAAAATACAATTTAGTAGTGAATAACAAATAAGCCTACTCATGGCAATTATTATTATTTTAAACACAATTCAGATGTTTTTCCATTCCATTTTAATCATATTTAAACTATTATATTGTTGTTATGTATAAACACCAAATGAAATGAAATAAAAAATTAAAAGTGCAAATATAAAACAAATAAAAAAATACTTCTTGATTTTTAGTATTATATTTACGTTTTCATTTTCCAGCTTCAGGCCTTTTACAATATACTTTTATGTTATGTTTTTTAGAATTATATTTCCATTTTTAATTTCCAGCTTCAGGCCTTTACACTATAATTTTTGGGTTATGTTTTTTTTTAATTTTATTTCCATTTTTAATTTCCAGCTTCAGGCTTTCTACACTTTTTTAATTCAGTGTTTTCCATGATTATAAGAACCCTTTATATTGTTGCTCAGTGGGTGATGGAGGCTCGCAAGACAGCAAAGCAGTCTGGGAGTTGGAGTCTGTTGTCCGTCTCCCCCTCCATCACTTCATTGAGCATTACTCCCACGGGACGCGGTTCATTATGAAGTAGAGGCAGATAACAGCTCAAGGACATCACATCCTCTCCCTCAGCCAATCCTTCTGGAACTCTTGCCAAGTAACGCTGAAGTTCTTGCAGTGGGACGTGAGCTGGAAGACAGAGAGAAAGGATCTTCCCTTGTGTCCGTGCAGGAGAACGCATGACAGGAGGGAGATGCTTTAGCCGCATGGAGCAGGAATACTAATCTAAAAATACTGCCCACTGCTATGCTTTGGTTTATAGCAATTTTTGGGCCTGCTTAATATGTCGAGTAGCAGGATAATGCAACTAACAAACTCCCATGCAAGTTTCTCTGCCATATGAAACTGATTAAATGGGATAAACATATATAATTGTTCTTCAAGGGTGAGCAAGAGTTGCCATCTGCATTTCTCCGCCCCTTTTTCAGAGTCGTGCAGATTGACATAATTGTGCAATGACTCTTCAAATTGCAGATTCTTGGCAGATGGCCCATCTTTCGCTTAACAGGAAGAAGCAGCAAGAGCTAGAGAACTCTCTGTCTCACGCTGCCTCAATAAAGGTGTCAGGAGAGATGGAAGTTGGAAAGTGAAAAAACAAAAACAAATCCAATTCTCCCCACTGACTGCAGCTGAATCCCAATACACCATAGTCTGGAGGGTTACTGCTACCGTCTCTGCTTTAGATACAATGTTCGATCACTTCCTGGGTCACAGGACCCACTGTGAAATACACTGAAATACTATTTAAGTATCTTTACTTAATTCAATGCATACTTCCAATTCTTCGTAATTATTTAATAACTTCTGAGAAAAAATGTGTCTTCGCTATTTTTATTCAGTGCACTTTGGTTTAAAGAAAAGTATACAGTGCTAAATACTATTATTATTAATTATTATTAATGACATTTTATATTTAAAAGATATTTTACATTTTATATTATACATTTCTTTATTTATGTATTTAAAATTTTAATAGTATTTTAATTTATAGTTTATTTTTTAAATATTTTACAGTATATTCGATATTTTTTATATTTGACATTATATAAATACATTATATTTATATAGATAAATACTTTTATAGTTCATGGTTTATTTATAGTTTATATAGTTTTATAGAATATAGTTATATTTATATTAATTTTTTATATATTTTTATAGTTTTAAATAACTATTTAATATATTTATATATAAATAAATAACTATATTTAATATTAACATATTTAAAATATATGAATGACATATAAATTCTAATGCAATATTAAATATATCAACCCATCAAAATAATCTATGTAGATTCAGATCTGATATTTATTTGTTTTTTGTTTGTTTATTTATGTTTTAATGCCATATCAGCAACAATGGCTATATTCATGACAACATTAACAGTATCATCTATTTCAATACATCATTTATAATAACATAACATTTTCTTAAGAAGCAATCACTATGCAAAAAAAAACATACAAATAACAACAATAGTACTGATAATAATCTATGTTGAAAAGCAATGCCAAAGTACAACTGAATACATTTGGAAAAATAATAATAAATAATGAGTAACGTGCAGTTTCATGTTTCAACCACAGAGGTCAACATATAGTCCAGAATTTTGTAGCGTACTGATAAATGACGCTTCACCTTTAAACCAAAAACGGCCAAATGTCTTTGGGGACGACTTCTCTATGTGCCGCACTCAAATCATTCATACCAAAACAAATATTGAATTCACACATTCTTTTTAGATGAATATGTTCCATGATTACTACTTACATTATCTTCTTATGTTTATGGTCCCATTACAGTAAGTCATAACAGAATCATTTCAGGACAGAAGCAGACTGCACATAATGAGCACACTGGGTAATAACCTAATATAGGAACCTATAAATTAAGAAACAGAGCCCTGCAGTCTTCATTAATGCTGGTCTATGGATGAACAATAATTAAGGTGGACCAGGGTTCATTGAAGGGTCACTCCTGACGGCTTCAGAGCAAATTGAAACAGGTCTGGCCTTTTCAATCTCGTCAACGTCTCTGGTAAAGCATGTCTGAATTTGTATGTGACCCTATGACATTGATGAGGTCAACAGTCGGTGCAATGATAAACTGTCCTAGACATTAAAGAGCTAGTGGCTGTCTCTTATGTAAGCCTTCAGATGGGAAAAAGGAAAGAAAAAGAAAGTTGTCCCTCACAGGCAGCTGACAATTTCAGTGTACACTGAAATACTACGAGAGCGTTGGTGGAGTGAATGATTGACAGGAGTTTTGTCACGAAACCCAGGCGTTTTTCTCTGCCGGAGACTGCGGCGACCCATCAACTCTCCGTTGTTGAAAATCATTTTACTCCAGCTTGGATGGGGAGCGGAGACATTTGGCTAATTAAATCAAACAGGAGGGCACTTTCCAGATGAGCCTGAATCCAATTTCATTAGTGCCCTCTCAGCCACGGATAATGTGCGGACCATGAGGTCGCTCTCGGACGTTTCGTGTCTTGACATCAACACGCTGGAGTATGATCAATAAAGGATGCTGAGCTGAATTGCAGGATTGAAAGCATGCTGGCTATTCCATGGACGCATTTTTGCTGCTACTGGAGTTTGACCTCAGCGTTTGCACATCATCCTCAACTGGGTGTTCAGAGGAAATGAAGCTATAATATTGCAAATGAAAAATCATTAAAGCTCTTTTTAAACCATAGGACAAAAATACAGTTTCCGAACACATTTGGATGCATTTTGCAAGAGTCCTTAGCCAGTTTACAGATTAAATTTGGTGTGCCTTATGTCCATATTGCCCTCTATATACCTGCATTTGTGCACCATTCAGAACTGAATTGAAAATGCATTTTAAGATCTAGTTAAATACTAAATTTGAATTTAGGTACATAGGATATAGAATTGCAGTTAAAATTTCAATGCAAGTCAGCAAAATTAAAATATTGATGATTAACAATTAATAATATTAATAAATACTTTTTGGATCAATTCTCACTATTATCTTCCACCACATGAGAACACTTGGCGCCCTTGTGCTGCTGCTTCACGCTGATATCTGTTTGATGTTTGCTTGTCGCTATGTTTTTGCCGTTTATGTTTTTGCCGTTTATATTTTTGCTGGGATTCGGCAGATCTGGATTATTTTCTGGACTTCTCTCTTCACACAAA